TTGGTGTAAAAAAATTTAGATGCATCTTGCAAGGTCACTGACTTATGGCAGGTCAAAGTCAGGCCATGTTTTCAGCAGCGTCCATTTCTAGGGAATCGCTCAATCTGATGCAAGAAAGGAGTGTTTGACGAAGCTATACATCTTTGTGGTGCTTTATTAGGCAACGCAAGCATTGAATGAGCGAATTAAGTCGATCAAAGGCCAGGTATAAAGGCCAGACCAAGGTCAAAACCAACCTGTTTTATTGCTCCAGGGCTTGCTGTATGGGGTACTTTCCGGTGCTCGTTTTAAATTCATTGATAGCAGGAACCGCAGCATACGTCTTCAGTTGACTTCTTAGAGACCATAGAAGGTTATTGCCCTAAGATGACCAGGTCGACATTTTTTAAAGAACATACTGCCAAGCGTAATATTTGTCCCTTATTCAAATGCAAAACTCAGGGCAGTCTTGTATGATTTTGGTCACCATGACTTTTAAAAGGTCAAGCAAGGTCACTGACCTTACATGAGCTCGTGTCCTTTTGCTTAGAAACAGCTGTTTAGGTTCTGTGGGCACTTTGGAGGCCAGCCTGCAATTTGAGTTTGACCTTATTTGACACGAATGTCATGATACAGTGATCTCAAATTTTGGCCTAAGTGAGTACACATACAGGTCAACACACTCTGCAAATTTGGTGCATCCAGCTTTCTTAGTTCCCGAAATCTTAGGGGGGAGGGTCAAATTGACCCCACCCGAGCAAAGGGTATCTCGTCGGCCACCCGGGCGCGTGTTAAGATAGTCGTCTGACCCGTCGTCTAGAAACCACATGTATCATGTTAGGATCCCCATTTGCAGCAGACCAATGATTCACATAAATAACGGCAGAGACGAAATTCCCCTTGCGCGATCTCCTGACCGGCGGTAAAGCCTCACAAAGGCAGCGGATCCCAGTCAGGCGCGGGCACTGAACATTGAGCAAATGGTTTTGCATAAGCTGGAAAAACGTAGAGTGAATGATATCGCACTTACCATTTCATCCTTGAACGACAAAATGCTGAATTGTTGGGACAGGATCGAACGAGCAGAAATGGCCAGTTTCACGCTTCTGTTACCATTAGCTACCAATGACGCAGCGACGTGGCAAATTAGGTATCAACCAGAGCTACAGTCAAGAGGACCATGGAGCAAGTACCCTCCACAATTGTCAGCACCTTTTTTATATTTCAGCACTGTAGTCAGCGTCTGAAATTACCCGCCATCTGAGGTCGGTATGGCCACAATAGGCCATACATGACCAGTGTTTGACACATAAAGATTATTAATCAAGGCAGGACTAATCTACAGTAATTGGTCAACTGCCATTTATAGAAAATAAATTACTATTAGCATTGTTCATCGTAAAATAATCAGGAAAAGGAGAAACAGATGCATTTATATTTCGCCTACATGCCTTTATCGAAACGGATGTGAGTAGTAAATTCAAAATTTAAAAAAAACCTGTCGATCACTCTCAATTCTTCTTTTTTTTTGACAGCGACCCATGGTTTTTCACGTCACCACTTCACATAAGTTACAAATCGGCGAGCACTCAAGGTTGAACAGAACAGTGAAATCCGTCGCCATTATGCAGTTAAGTCCAAGAAGCTCGGGGTTGTTCGCTTCTCTGGTTGTCTCATCATGCGACAACCAGAGAAGAATAATAGGTGTATATATATATATATATATATATATATATATATATATATATATATATATATGTGATATCTATATCTATATACACACATATATATATACATATATATTAGGCGTATATATCCCTGTCTTATATATATAAATATATATATATATAATATATGCATATATATATATATATATATATATATATATATATATAAGACAGGGAAGAAAAAAGCATTGTCGAGGCGTTCCTATTTGGCGTTTGTGACTATCATTTCCAGTTGTAACGGCCGTCAATTGGCTCTCAACCCAAGTTGTGAGGGTGCGATGACGTAATCAAACAAGGACTTATTGAGGAGCACGTTTCCTAAACAAAGAATTGTGTTGTCTACAGCAGTGTTTCCGCGTGAAAGTATACCAAGAGTTACAGTTGAGCTTAGTTCATCATAGTTGGTGTTTGCTTCAGTATCCTCAGATGTGGAACATTCCCTTAAACACAGCATGGCAGGGAGCGGAAATGCCAGAACTGTATTCTCGTAAAGGGAACCAAGCGAGAGCCACTGCTATGAAACGAAAACAGTGAAATAAATCTCGCTGAATCTGATAATTTATCGCAGCGGTTTGGTCTTTCATCGGGTGTAACAAGAACAAATCTATTTCGCCCCGAACGAGAAATGGGCAGCCTAAGGCGTTACAAACGCTGAGACATTGTGGACGTCCGTTAGCAAGATATCGCCAAAGATTTCTAGCGGATTTACTGGCCATTTTTCACTGTGACGCCCGAAGCGATCCGTGTTTGGGCTCGGGCATGGGCGTTGCAAGGAAAAAATAAAGGCATTTTCTTCAACCGAGGACTGAAAAAACGGGAGTGTTCGACAAAGCAGCATGCTATGCAAGGCCAGCGCTCCTGAGATGCGACAACGACGTAATGAACGTCTGCTTTTTTACAGGTGGGGCTGAGTGTTACCCGTGACAGGCACCTATGGCTAGCGGTGGCTCAAAAGAGCCACAGTTCAGCCTCAAGAACTTTTGATTTATTGCGTTTGAACGCCATATCATCCATTTCATTTCATGGTTAATGGTCGGCAGTGGAAGTCGTTTCAAATGATACCATCTAATGAAAAAGTGTCATCAAATCAACAAAATGACAACGGTCTTACCTTACAAAATGGTGGTTGAAAACTTTAATTGAAATGCGGTGCTCGGTTGCTGCTTTCCACTACACAGAGACTATTCAGCGTCATTGAATGTTCACCAGCAGAATCTGATCAATGTAACGTAGGAACTTGCCACGTAAATGTAAAACATTGTCACTCAGCCACAACCAGCGATGCGTCAAAAGAAACAGCAGTGGTTTGGTCCAATTTTGTTGATCCGACACTCATTAGTTCAACCTAAAGGATAGACATGGCTCAAATAACCATTCCAAAAAGTGGCACAATATAGCATCCCAATTCATCGCAACCGGGTTCTCCAGTCTCACGCCTTAAACCCCGCCTCGGTCAAAGCCCACTGGTCTAAGGCTGCTGGTCTGCCCAGCGGCTGTGCTGTGCTGTGCTGTGCTGCGCTATGCTGCGCTGCGTTGCGCCGAGCCGCTCTCGTGCCGCAGCCAGCCTGCGGCCGGTGCCCGTTCCCACCTGTCGTTTGGCCTGTCGTTTGACCTGTCGTTTGACCTGTCCCGCGAGCGGGTGAGGTCGATGGCCGACTTGGAGAAGTGGCGCAGTAGCGAGCCATGGAGCGAGCTGTGATCCGACGCCTTGTCAGGGTCTGCAACGACACAGCGGTACGCGGGTTAGCTGCAGGCCTCCGATGTCCTGCTCGGCGTTTGTTGCAAGGATGTGGTGTTCCGCTCGGTGAGATATCGCCTGTTTTACGGAATTGCGCAACGTGCGTCCGGCATGGCAAGAAGCTTCGGCCATCTCCAGCGACTTGGACGAACTCCTTTAGCGTCTGATGATCAACATGGCTAATATTATAGACGTCAGAATCTTGAGTGGGCTATACGCAGATGATGAAGAGCATCTATGCTGAATCTGTAGGTTATGCACCCTTTTATTGATGGCAAATTCCGAGAAAAAAAATGACTGTTGTACATACAATACGTCACCTTGTACGAACACCGACTACTCTGGACATATCAGCTGTGACCTTCAACAACAGCCCTTTTCAAGTGATCTTCATCCGGATTTGCCACCGAATATTACAGATTTTTTCGGCTGGGTATCGGTTGGTGCAGAACACCTCCACCCGGTCTGATAACCTGGTTGGAGAACAAAGTCGGCACAACGCCAATGGAGGGCTCAACACAAATTGCATGGCTCTTCAGCGAGATAAAAACGCATTCCTCGTCGCGACGATGCTGCCAAAGAAGTGCATTTAATTAGCCACCGGCGTCACCGAAACGCCGAACCGAACGCCCCTCCGCGCTCGTTACATCTGTCCCCTCAGAAAGACATTTGGGGACCGCGGCGAGCCGGCCGCGTTTTTGCAATCGACTGGCCGCCGCGCCGCCGGTCGCCGCCTGCGCGCCGTGAATGGGACCACGGGCGTCGCAGCCGACGGCCTTCCTGACTAATGGCCCGCGAGGGCGGCTTGAATGGCGCGCCGCCGCGCCGCAGACGAATATGACGCGCTGGTCACGCGCCACGGAATCAGCGTCTTTCACTCGCACTCCGGATCCTTGGTAAGAGCAGGCTTGGCATGTCCACCACGTAGCTCATAATGGAGCTGCAGGAAGCCAAAGAGACACCATTATTAGCGTTGTTATGAGCTTGCTCATAAAATTATACAATTGCTAAGGTATTGACATAAATTCATGAACTGTTGGACTATCAAAATCCTAAAATAAAACATGCTTGAAGCCGAAGGCAAGGCATGCCATGAATGACATTGACGTAGGTGATGCGCAATTCCCTCGCGTCAGAGCATATATGGCCATTATCTGGTAAAACTGGCGAGGCCCGGGTGTACAGTCGGAAAAAATCTCCTGCTATCTTAAGTGCACTTCCGCTGTCGAAATGTCATGACTATGGTCTTGTTATCTGTCTGGTAAGTGATGGTGCGTTCGGTCTCTGTGTATCGCAGCACAGTGTAGAGCCGTGGCTGATATCGTAAAAGCCTGCATGATAAGCTGATGTCTTCCTTGCACGGATGTTGATTACACGCATCGAACGAGCGCCAGAGGCAGGTAGCATCATGGAAAAAGCGTGTAACGAGAAGTGCACACCTAAAGGTGCTTAAATGGGGATTCAAGACGGCCCACTTCGCCGCATTGTTGTACCTTAGGTCCACGAACAGATCTGCCATTGACAAACTTGTTAATTGTCGACAAATATGGGGACAATAAGTTGCGAGCTTGGCACTCAAACGTGCAAGCAAAATTTATCGGGGCTCTCTTCTCTAAAATAATTTTTGGTGTGGTCATGTGGAAGATGAAAGAAGAAGAACGCACATCCTCTGTACACCGGCTTTTGCAATGGAAATTGTCAAGTTAATTTAAGCAAAGCTAAATGAAATGGCAATGTAAAATATTTAAATGACAATTAAAAAACATGTCATTTGGAACAAAATTGTGCCGGATAAGCGTCGAATACGTTCTCTCTATCCACCATACATAACAGTGACCCATGTTTATATGGTGACTAAATTTAATGCGTGTTTTTGAAGCTCATGAACGTGTTGACGGCAAGCACAAATGGGAACTGGTAGTTAGCACCAGCTTCTCATGAACGCAACAGCTGCGTGAGGTAGAAGGGATGTACCCCTCCCCCCTTGCTTACGAAAGTATATTTAGTGTATCTTTTACCACTTGGAGCTAGGGTGTAAATTTCTACCCAACTTTGCATTCACAAGTAGGGAGTTTTCACAATAGATGTGGCTATTGCTACCTTTTTTCTTTGCTCGCAGATTTTCGGCACAGTGAAGCTTCATGTCGGCAAAGTATGCACATTTGTATTGAGGTAAAGCAGGGCGTAAACGATTCCCAACTCACCATTTCAGAAAAAAAAATCACGGCCTTCTCCAAATGTGGTGAAAAAGATTTTCTGCTATCGAGAATGCCTTCATCACCACTCGTTGAAATGAGCACGCACTGTAAGTTAGCTGCACTTCCGGGGAACACTATCTCCAAGCCTCCGAGCAAAGAACTACGCTCACCTGTTTTATTTCGGACGCGCGGTTAACAAAACTCTCCTCACTGTCTGGTGTCAATGTCATGTGCAACGCGGGTTGACTGAAACAGCGTAGCTAGTTGACCTGGCTCACCAGTAGCCGTGCAACCATGCATCGGTACATATATGGTGACTCAGTGAGACCACCGACGCTGATTTCAACCGCCTCCGGGCGACACCGGCAGGAGCGGACTTTCGAAGAGGGTGCCGATGGTGAAGTGGTTAACGCGCTTGTGTTAGCCACTGCACGTCTGGGAAACTAGAAGTGCGGGGTTCGATTCCCCACGGTGCTTGCCCTTCCTGCTGGGGTAATAAGCAGGCGACGCCATGTGGCCTCAGCAGCTGAGTGCGTCGTAAAACCCCAATGCCCCCTCCCCCGAGACTTTCGAAGGTCCGCGATCGTCTTGGCTGAAGAGTACGTTCCAGACCCAGTAGCATTGCAACGCTCGTGCCTACGACAGTTATGCAGTGAAGCCCGTGCGATATCATTAGCGAGCGTTCTGTTCGATACGCAAGATTCCTTCGCATTAGAAGACGGTGACGTAAGAATCAAACTGTGCATTTAAAACTGAAATTTGCTGAACTTCAATATGAATAAGGTAGCAAATTTGATATCATTAATATCAAATATAAACTCATAAATTGCTTGAATCCGTGACTTCTAGGAAAGGTTTTCATTAAAAAATAGTGCCAGGCCTTTCGCCTCCCTCACTGCGGTGATGAGCCTTTTATCAGGTGGGACCTCCACGGTGGAAATCGATTATAAGTTCGGAGCCACATGGAGGGAAGGGCCTCTCATACGCCGACCTGTCCCAAGGGTGGGGTTGTTACTTGCATCGTAATGTAAAAGGTTGCCTTCTGATTCCTCCAGTTGTGTGCCAACCACTTCCGCAATGATTCTAGGGCTTTCTCCATGACTTCTACAAGTTCGTGCAAATCCCGTGGGCATCTTGCTACAAGTATCTGACAGTCATCGGCGTACTGTATAAGCTGCGCCGCACCAACGTGACGATTGCATTCGTTTTTAAGGCACTTGACAAACTGGGATCCATGCGCGGCCACCTCAGATAATGGGATGACCACCGCTATTCAAGTTTTAAGCTTCTATATCCTGTAAAAGACAATAAATGTGGGTAATCGTTTAGTCATGGATGTCACTCGCCGTAGAGTTTCAGGCATCCAGCAGCAATTAGTGGCGGCGCAAACTGGCTGAAATCCACTGCACGTATACTCATCCGACGCGTTCAGGGTTGCGGTACTTATCAGTCGAATGATTTGTGGGAAACCTGTACTTGCTCGAAATATCAAGGCATGTCGTGTAAAACGCGTCGTAAATTACTTGCAGGCCAGCTTATGTCGTATTTCAGGCGTTACGCAAACGGATGAGATCGGCTTCCTGACGTTGGCCGAATCAAAACGGCACATATGCTATGCGTTGACGATGCGCAATAACACTGCCATATGAGCTGGTAAACAGACCTCGAAGACATGAAGCATCACATCAACCACCACTAGTGTTCATTTATGCTATGGCACGTACTATACTACACGTACTACATGTGATACCACGCTATGCCACTCGAAAACAGACTGCAGGCAGGGGACCCGGGCAACACTCGTGCAAAGCGGTGGTCTCGTAAATCCATTGGAATCGCTGCCCACGTCATGTCGAACGTCTTCCTCTATGCAAGCGAAAAATTCGCTGGCTTGGTCTGCCAGTTCCTCCGGAGGCTCGTTGGCGATAGTGTCTTTACACCATCGATGCTACAGATAACGCGGAGCACTTTCCAGGGCCTTGCCGTCTCAGTACGTCATACCGGATGACTGCACGCTCCCGGCGACTCAGTTGCCTGCACCTCGCGTCAGTGTGACGAAAGGCATGACGTTGTACCGATAGCTCCTTAGGCGTCGCAACACAAGGGAGCGGTTGCGTTGGTTGGCTGGTTGAGGTCGGGTTGCGGAGCTGGACCTGGACCTCCACTCTGGGGCGTTTTGTCAAACCACGGATCGAAGATGGGCAGGAATGCACCGGTCATTGCTTGAAAAAGACGCCAGAACAGCACCCCAGTCGAAAGTGGCCGGATCTTCCAGGAGAATATCTATATCATTTCGGCGGTAGTTGTGTACATTTTGTTGGCTGCTGTTTCGTTACGTTTCCCGTTCAGAGCGCAGCAACTAGGTCATGGGCGCTACAGTGGCTTCCATTTTTATCACGCCTGCGGGACAGTCTTCACCAGGTGCTTGCTGTCGGGGTGCTGGCGTAGCACGCATGCATACAGCGGGCCTATCCCAATTCACCGAGCCGGGTAGTAACAGGACTGCTCCGACCACGGAAGCAAGCCCGTACCCTTGGGGTGAGCCATTGGACCGGGGATCTGTTAAAGGCAGGCCAACCCGCCACCGCATCGCCGCGGCCGCTCTTCGGCGCAGCGCTGATCCCGGGACGGCGCGACCACTCCCCAGCTGCTGACATCGCGTGGGTATGAACTGGTCAAGAAAAAACTGCCCGAAGTCAGCCCTGAACCAAGGACCTGCCGCCTACGATACATGCGTGTCAATGTAACAGGCGTGCGCATTACCCAACCATCACAACCATCCATCAAAAAAGGTATCGGACTGAAATTTACCGAATGTATGTGCGCGGCTGTTGTCTCTGCGATACATATTTTGATGCTTTAAAAGTTAGAAAATGAGCATTTTATTAATTTCTCCGCACAAAAATGAGCTTACCATATTACTGTTTTAGATATAACATGTTTAATTCAATGTTACACTTCTTAAATCTAATATCCTTTCGGTTGACATGTTATTATTGTACCGCGTGTAGTGCGAGACCCGCTTCAGTTGGCAGTTCGCTGTAAAATGTCAGGACTCCATGAGAAATGTGACCCCGCCGCGTAATCCGTACAAGCTGCCACTCGTCATAACGCGATTTTGAGCCTCCTGCATCTTGACTGAGACACTTTCCGCCTGGAACTGGGCTTTGAGCTAGACAGCTGAAATAAAATCATTATGGAACCTTAAGCTTTTCCACACATTCCTTATTTTGCAACGGCCAGAGCTGGTTGCAGCGCGACACAGTTCAAACGTATCCGTAACAAATAACTATAGCGCCAGGATTTCAAGCACTGCCTTCGACAGGAGAGTATCACGCCGATTTTGCGTGAACTAAAACAACCCAACGTAGACAACCTTGATACCGAGCCGAGCAAAATCGGACCATGATAAGCCCTCTTCTGCCTGATGTGCTTGCGTCAACTAGTCCGAAAGACCCCTGTCGTACGGTGCGAACGGGTCCGCCAGAGACCCGAGTTTCAGTGACATCACTGCGGCACCTGCCCCGTAACCGTACTGAGGACGTTCGTCGATTTTTTAGACTCCGTCACTGTCACTGCCAAGTGGAACGTGGGGCCGGGCGAAGTGCGAGGCGCTGGCCCTGTGTCGGAATTTCGGACGCAGACGAGGGTACGGTGGACAACAGCGCTAACATGAAGAAAACGATCGATTCGAGTCAGAAACTTTTTATCGCTGGTGTATTTCGTTCTGTGTATTTCCTACCGTACACATTCAATTTGCCGGTGTATGGCTGCAGCTGTTTGTATCTGTGGCGCTTCTTCTGTTTTTTTTTTCTTTCCGTGGGGGACATAGGAATACAAAATGATGATGATGATGTTGTATGCCCGGCCGTGAAAGCAGATGAAACTCCTGGGAAATATCCTCTGGCTGATCCTGAGAGCCCAGACTATCGACCGCCAGTTCCGGATCGGCTGAAGTAAGACGCCACTGACTACGTGCTGTGGTGGAGCTAAGCTGATGCATACCCATGGCGAACGAGTGGTGTGTTTGCGTGGTCGACGGGTTTGTTTCGCCGCGGTGGCTGTCGGTGCCTCCCCGGGAGCGCCGACAGCCCATCCATCCCAGCGCCGCTGTGTCCTGAGCCGATAACGTGACGCACTGAAGGTGGCCCCCGACTGCATGACCTCCACTGACAAACCTCAGGGACTGCTCAACCCACCTCTAGCTCTCGGCTGAGTCGGTAACTGAAGGTGGCCCCCGACTGCATGACCTCCATTCACAAACCTCAGGGTCTGCTCGACCCACCTCCAGCTCTCGGCCGGGCCGGTATATACATACATGTATATATATATATATATATATATATATATATATATATATATATATTTCATTTGCATTGTAAAAGGTCGAAACTAGCTCCACTCAACTTGGCAGGAAGTACTCCCCGTCTCAGAGGACCCCGCCAAGCTGGGAAACGGGGTCACAGAAATCATGAAAGAATATCTAAGTTTTCATCAAACCAGACATAACTTATTAATATACAGTGAAGGAAAAACAACTGGAGGCAAGTAGCAATTCTTTTACCCCAATCTGATGGACTCAGGGCACTTTTCATATGTCCGTGGCGCACGGAAAGCCAGATGTCGTTAAGAATGTTACACACTGGCGACTACATTGGGCGAAAAATATTTTTCTTGAAACATTTTCGTAAGTGTCATTTCGTATACTAATGAATGTCTTCAACTAGGAATCGAAAGAGGCTCGCTGGCCTGTATTCCAGTATGGCACACGAAGCCCTTTTGGCAGACTCCAGCGGCAGGCGGGCGTTAGGGCCTCCAGAGCCTCACGTATCAGCAATAAGACAGCTGGCACATGTTGAGAACCTCGGTCACTGCCATCGCGGGTGATTTCGCTTCCGAACGATCATTATTATCACAACTCTAACGTGGTTTCCATACCTTCCACCAGTGCGATTGCCACCCACTCAGGCGTTATTAACATCATAATCACGTGACGCCGGACCCCTGCAGACGTCACATAATTAAGGGTATGCATTCAGGGGTGCAATCAGGATTTTGCCCAGGAGGGAGCCAAGTCGGGTCATAAGGGCCCTTCCAGTCGAGGGGATCTGTCTTGTCGCTTACGGTCCCAGCTTTGGATATCGGGACACTTTAAGGCTTAGTTCCCTATGTTATGTTTCGGAAACCGGTTTTTGAGTTAAACCATATGTCATTTTGTGTCCTTGATATTAGTGCGAGTGCGCGGGAAAACGTTTATACCAGCTGAGATCCAATGCACAGTCAATTGCTCAAGGCTTATGGCCGTGGCTATTTACCTTTTACCAGACTATTTTTCCGAAATCATTCAGAAAAGCCCGCGATGCGACCGAGATCGATGAATTATATGGATCAGCTACTAATCAATCACACGAACCAAACGAAGAATGGAAAAAATAATACCAAACTGGATCCATGCAAAAAAGGCCGTAGACGACTGGCTTTCAGCATCGTGAGCTTGGAATCTGCAAACTGACAATAATCGACCGCCAGCGTACCAGGAGACACTGGTTACCGACGTTATCGGCGAAGAATTGGTGATATGGTCAAAACTCATCGTCTCAAGTTGTCACCACACTCACTTCAAGATTTGCCAATATAGCAGTGCTCGATAACGTCGCATAAAGGGAATGTTCCATACTTGAAGATAGTAAAGCACGCATCAGATATGATAGCATAAGCTCACTTATAACTTTGGTATGCTGTTAAATGGAAAAGATTGCCGCAGACAACATAAGTTCCTTGTTGAGTAAATGTGCTGCCCAGTACGTCATTGTTTGATTACGTCATCGTACCTTTCACAACCTTGATTAAGAGCCAATTGATGGCCGTTTTATCTCGAAATCGTGCTCACGAACGCCAGATATAAACGACTCGACAATTGCATCCTTATCGGCTTTGATCGCCAATGTAATGGCTATAGCCAATACCTATGGCTTATGGAATGACAAGACTTGAATGACGTTATTATGGCGTCACAGATGCCGGGTTGATCTTGAAATGGCCTCCCCGAAATAGTCTGTACGTCTTCGCGGGCGTGCGCCTCACAAATCAGAGTGCTTTAGGTCTTAAGATGGCCAGGGCTGTGAACTGTAGCGGAGTGATCTGCAAGATGGCTATTTCAGTTCAAAACTCCATACAAATGTGGAACACTCCCTTTAAGCAGTTCGTACTGGCATGATTAAAGTCGATTATTGTCAGCATAAGACCTCCAAACTCATTATACCGCACACACATTGACGAAAGACATGGGGAATGAGTAGAGGAGGAAGCTACCCTTTCTCTCCCCCCCCCCCCCCCCCATGCACACAGTACCATTCAGACTAGCACCATACCACGGCAATGAAAAATAGGCAAATTTGAAACCAATTGAAGATTGTTGGCGAGTGTATACTGCATGCAAATCATTTATATAGTTCAACGCGTCCCAATCGATATGCCCTTCTCAAAGTTTCGGTAAAACGGGGAATTAACCAAAAAGAAAGTCACTTTACGAATGCAGCGGCCTCTTTCCTCAAACACAGCTGCATGTTTGACATCGGCAACATTTTGCGATCCATTCACATATGATGAGTATAAGAAAGGCCGCTTATGTCTGACAACTTCTCCGTCACGACCCAAATGTATACGCGCACTTGGCCGTCAACGTCTGACCATCGCCAAAGACGTCGGCACTAATCTCCAACACGGTTCTACCTGGCAGATGGATGAGCGACGGACTGTTCTTGTGCTTGCTCCTCCACTTCCTCTTCATCTCCCGCGACGTGCTCACATCCCCACCGTTGCCCTCCCGTACCCGTCTCCGCGGCCTCGCCGCCCCCCACCGACAGGGCCAGCACAGTGCGTCCGGCGGCTATTCCAATCACAGGCACTCTCTATCTGTCTCTATCAGGCCGCCCTCTGAGAGGACCGGCGCCGGGCTCAGATGCGCTCGCAGCCGCCGGGATTGTGCTTATCTGCCGCCGCCGCGGTGGGCGCGTGGCGGCGGTCCTACCGCAGCATCTGGCTGCTCGCCAGCAGCGTGACACGCCGGACACTGCGGAGGTCACTGGTGCCGCTGAGTAGGCGGTGTGCGCTGGCCGACACTTCCGGAGCAGACAGTGGACCTCGCACTTGACCTGCGTGTTCTGACGAGACAGCGCGCCACGCTGAACTTTACACTCGCGTCGCTCGCACGCCGATTTGGCACTGGCGGACTTCAACGCGCCTTGTGCCAACGCGCCGGGTCTGAAAATCGTCGTTTTTCGCTGACGCCCGGTCTGATTAAATCTGCACCGTCACTCACTGCCGCACAGCTCCCCCCACGCGAGCGCCACGGTTTTCCCGCCCGTACCTGGCCCGCACTGTGCCGCGCGTCCTCCTCCGACCCTCAACTGGCCCGTGCAGTCCCTTCCGCCGAGACACCGATCTCCGGACACTTGCCGGCGGCCAACTGTCGGCACCGTCGTCGTCTGCCGGGCGGCGCGTCGACGCCGACGACGAATCGGCGTCGACGGCGGGACCGCGTGGCGACGCAGCGATTCCACAGTCGCCGGGGCGCAGTCACGGACCGGTGACCAGAGGCCGGCAGCGAGCGCGGCCGAGCGACACGACGCGGCGGCCCCCTCAGCCGACAGGACGCGGTCACACTCTGGCACCGCGCGCGCCGCACGACAGACCCGCCGGCCGGGGCGCGCCGACCCGACGCCGCTAGTCGCAATAGTCGCCAGTGCGTACAATAGCCGTCGTCGTCCGCGAACAGGCGTAATGAGCTGCGTTCACAACTGTGATCGCGTGCACGGCTAATGAGGGTACACACGAGGTGTCGGTCGTTCTATCGTCCGAAAGACGATGCGCTGAGGCCTCGCTGCCGCGGCTGCGCCTCTTCCCCTCCCCTCCCCCTCCTCTGTCGTGCCCCGCGCCGGCGGACCGGTCGCCGGGGGCGGTGCGGTGCCGTCGTGCCGACCGTGTTGCGTCGGCACGTGCTGACGGCACACACTTGTCTGGTCACGGCCCGACCGCCGTATCGACCGACAAACGCCACTCAGTGGGGCGTGTGACGGCGCCGAGGCCGGCGGCGAGGCCCGGTGCCCGGCCCGAGTGCGGGGTCGCGCCGGCGCGGCACCGGCCACGCCGCGGCCTCGTCACACGTCACGCCGTACACCGCGCCCGCGTCTTGCACTGAAGCTAACCGTAGCGTGACTTCCGTCAACGCAACGCTGATGGTGGGCGGTGAGACGAAGGTGTCGCCGGGAAATGCATCGCCAGACGTGATTGCCGGCGTGGTTTCAGATGTTCTGGCGTGATCACTACCCTCACATATGCAGGTGCTCGGATAACACCAAACACCGCCCGACATGTTGAGCAGTGAATGGGCCACCTGGATAGCGTGAAGCCGAAACATGGAGTGCATGCGAGACGAGGTCTATTGATACACCCACTCGGCATGAGGCACGCGTCGCTCATGCACAACACCCCGAAACGTCTGCATTCCCCCACGCTCCGCACGAGATATCCCATGTCCCGACGTCCGTTCGCGTGTGCCCTCGATCCACTGTCCACGGCCGGCCACCGCTGTCCCCCAGGCCTTGTTGGGCGCACCGTGCACGTGTGAGGGCCGCCATTGTCCTGCGACCGCGCGCTGGAACCGCGTATCGAGCTGCCGCCTATCGAACTGTGTGCGGACGCCCGCAGAGAGGCACTCCTAGACAAACGGGCAGACGCGCGGCGGCTACCAATGTGCCGGCGCCCGCAGAGAGGCACTCCTAGACAAACGGGCAGACGCACGGCGGCTACCAATGTGCCGGCGCCCGCAGAGAGGCACTCCTGGGCAAACGGGCACACGCACGGCGGCTACCAATGTGCCGGCGCCCGCAGAGAGGCACTCCTAGACAAACGGGCAGACGCACGGCGGCTACCAATGTGCCGGCGCCCGCAGAGAGGCACTCCTGGGCAAAAAGGAACACGCACGATGGCTACCGATGTGCTGGCGCCCGCAGAGAGATGCTCCTGGACAAACGGGCACACGCACGGCGGCTACCAATGTGCCGGCGCCCGCAGAGAGGCACTCCTAGACAAACGGGCAGACGCACGGCGGCTACCAATGTGCCGGCGCCCGCAGAGAGATGCTCCTGGACAAACGGGCACACGCACGCCGGCTACCGATGTGTTGGCGCCCGCAGAGAGGCACTCCTGGACAAACAGTAACACGCACGATGGCTGCCGATGTGTTGGCGCCCGCAGAGAGGCGCTCCTGGACAAACAGGCACACGCACGACGGCTACCGACGTGCTGGGCGGACGCACGGACGGACGGGCGGACGGGTGGACGGGCGGACGCACGATGGCTACCGATGTGTTGGCGCCCGCAGAGAGACTCTCCTGGACAAACGGGCGGACGCACGACGGCTATCGATGTCCGAAGACCCTCCCCTTCCCCAGGGCTCATCCTCCCCTTCCCCATTGAGGTCATCATTCGCGATTAATCAATGACCAATTAAGGATGGGCCTAGGCATAAGCCAGCTATAAACACCAATGGACAGTTAAGAGGTCGGGTCATGCAAAGACAATTCTGATGCATGTTCGTTAAACTAACAACTAAGGAACTCATTTGTTACAATGACACTTTTAAACTCTCAAAAGGACTGGCCCCATCACCAACGTAACTTTGACGCGACTTTTTCCAGTTTGTGCAGAAAATTTAGATTCCATGATTTAGCTTTTCAATCCTGGTAAGTCCTAATAAATAAATGTCACCATTTTTGCAATTTCGCTATGGCAGTGCCGATGTGGACAAAAACGCAAGCACAATGAAAATAGCGCTCTCTTACTTGTCTCCTATTGTGACAATACTTAAACCAAAACCTGGCAGAATGATATCGCGCAAAGCGGAAACCCCTGGTAAAAGAAACATGTAAGCTTATTCGGTCAGGATGCCAAAACGACATATATCTTGAAACCAAAAGCAATTTTTCCGTAGGCCTTATCGCTTTAAACAGAAAAGTAGTCCTTGGTACACGCACGTGATATGACCATATAAAGGAATCGGCGAAATATATGAACACATCGTATATAGCAAATGACAGAGGTGATCCTATCAAGCTGGATGTCGGAACACATACAATATCACTAGCGTGTGCAGATGCGAGAGCTACCTTTGAAGAGGATGCGCGTATAGTGTTTGGTTCATGAAGTCCACAGCGCTGTAAATGCCAAGTCAAGCACTTCTAGCGTTCTGTGTGCGATGTTGTGCTGTTAATCGTATCCCCAGAGCGCGTGTGCACGCGTCACACAATGTCGGGTTTCTGAGGTCGAGGGAGACAGTACCCCTTCGTTCGATAAGTCGCGGAAGACGCGTGCCCACATATCCCGCGATGTCGCTGCCCCTACACTGAGGGTGTTTGGATAATGGGGCGCTTCGGCCTCAGTGGTCATTTTTCAGGCAACCGCAGTCTACTTACGACATTTCGAATGAGAAGGCGGCAGATTTACAGAGCCAATCATCCGTCCTTCGGGACTCACGTCCAGCAACACTTTTTGTGCTTGTGGGTATGAGCAGTAACATTTGGGCACCAGATCAGTGCCATTTTCAAAGCCACTTATCTCACCCGGAAATCTTTATCTGACTTGATATGGCAATTATGGGTACAATGGCAGTTCACGTCAAACGTACAGCAATGGGCGGAGTCGGCATGTAATGCAATGCAGAAAACGTTTGCACGCAGGCTCAGTATAAAACGAGACACCCTAGCTGGCACGGCAGCAGAGTTCTAAACTGAGGCCATCTTCTAGCCAAAATACGATCTGCCAATGGATTACGAAGTTGCACGCCTGCCAAAAGAGCTTGGTAGAATCTGATTCCATCGGGCTGGGTCGTTCATTCAAACGCAAAGCTCCTGTCGTTTGGTGAATTGGTTGCGAGCCGTTTCCCGCCCCGCTCGCAACCGCACATATTTTGTTTCCGCCATCATTGGCACAATGCCGTTGATGAACGGATATGTGTATGCAATGCCTGAATTTTCTAGCGCTGCGCACGCTGCCTCAACAGTTACATACTTGGGCTTCATTCCGTGAACCTAAAGCCATATGCGCGAACCAGCGATGCACGGTTTGCATGATACATGAGATACGGGGGTTGCATATTTGCGGAGCCAGCGTTGTATTAGAGGACGGAGCGGCTCCCAAACTCTGGGCCCGGGTTTCAGGAGTTAAAGCATGCCTCATCGCCCTCGCTAAGTCCGTAAAGCCGACTAAGCTCTCAAAGTTACGATTTATGTCAAGTGACTGAAGCATCCTAGCGACCAAGTTTTTTCATAACGTCCAAGTCTAAGACTCAGTCATGCAGTTTGGAGACCTCCCGAAGTTATTCTTTAGGGTATTCAAACATTTCGTCATTATCAAAATAAAGGTCGAAGTTCAGGTCGAAAGACAGAAAATGCCAGAGCAAACAATCTGCGGGACACACTGTTAGCCCAGTTTGAAGAAATAATATATAGGTTTTCGCCCTTGCTAACCTCTGTTAAGACAAGCAGACTGATAAAGGTGACAAAGGTTTCAGCCGGCGTGAAAAAAAAAACAGGCATCGCTACAGCGCCACCTATAATGGTGTACGTAGTGTCACCTACATAGTTGTGTAATGGTCTGTCCTGAAATTGACCTTGAATATTGGCCTTGAGGGCAAAAGGGCCGTCGTGTTTCTAGATACCTAGAAACGTTAACCTGAGGACGAAATCTGGTCGGCGTTTAATGAAAACACGACGAGACTTCAAGACATACACATTGCTAGAAGCCGAAGTTACATCCAAACTACACAACAACTAACAACCATTGCCACAAGACAAACA